TATTAAGCAATCTCTTGTTGGTCACGTCATTGTGACTGAAGCTCAAATGTATATATTCACTGTTGACACTATTGGAATTGCCCAAGCTTGATCTCCACTTGACCACGACACCTGAGCATAATATACCCCAGTCACACCGCCACTACGACTTCAAACTGATCGCTTCCTTGCCATCGTGGTAATGTAATCCAATGTATATTAATCAGTCTCTTGTTGGTCACGTCATTGTGACTGAAGCTCAAATGTATATATTCACTGTTGACACTATTAGAATTGCCTAAGCTTGATCTCCACTTGACCACGACACGTCTGCATAATATACCCCAGTCACACCGCCACACCGACTTCATACTGATCGCTTCCTTGCCATTGTGGTAATGTAATCCAATGTATATTAATCAGTCTCTTATTGTGACTGTATATTCACCATTGACACATAATCATCATTGTGACATGCAAAATGAACGGTGTAACTCAATCAAAATGTCAAAAATCCAACTCTTTACTGTACTCACAGAAAGACAATAAAACTTTGTGACCTACTGAAGAGAATTTGTCTCAGTGTTTCATCATTTTTGTTTAAAAATCTCTATGATAATTGTAACATTCCAATTTTATTTGTAGTAACTAGTATGTACAGCACATTGTGACTTTACATTATGACTCAACGTTCTTTTGAGCCTTCCAAAGTAGTTTCGAAATGATTAGCCTTTAAATAGCTCCCAGTTTTATACCACATGAAAATATCAAGGTATTTTTGGTTTCAATTTCTAGCATATGTAAAATTCTAAATGCGGACATGATCACACTCCATGATCTGACTACGATCCGAATTTAAAAGACTTTGTAACAGCATCTCATATAAACATTTAAACATTTAAAATCTTAATCACCGAGGATCTGGAAAATCATAATGATTGACAAATCTCAATCTCAAGGGATTTTATTCTTCCTTGGAGGGGGAAAGGCTAAATCGGCTCATAATCGTAATGAAACCAGAAGTGTGCATTTTTACGTAATACTTGAGATTTTAAAAATATAGGCATTACTGCAGTAGTTCTTACAGATTGAGCCTGCACAATCTTCAGATCTAGGCGCTTGAACCTGTTGGACGCAGCTCGAGATACTTCCGAGTTGAGCGCTGCGAAACTCTCTGTCTCTATGACGACATACAAAGAGATTGAATCTTAGCTCTTGAACTTAAAGGACGTAGCTTGAAATAGTTCGAAGAAAATTGTACGAAACTCTCTGTCTCTACGATGATATTTCAAGGGAATAAATCTTAGCACTTGTATTTGTTTGACGTAGCTCGAAATATTTCGAGAAAGGTGTTGCAGAACTCCCTATCTCTATGATGATATATGAAGGGATTGAGTATGGCAGCAATAGCTACTGCTACCAGGAAACAAAGATTTAGATATGCCACAGAGGCTTCGTCCGCAAGCGGCGTTACCTGAAGAGTGAAGAACACGATGTATGGAGACCAAGAGGACACAAGGACACCGACTATGATGCCAGTTGTCTTGACCGCTTTGAGCCTGCGCTCCAGCGCTTCCGGTGCGACGTGGTTATTTTGACCGTTGCTTGTTTGAATCGCTATGGCTCTTGTCTGCTTGACAGCGATATGCATTATGTGGAGGTTAGAGACAAATATCAACAACAGTGTAAGGACCAAAAATGAATCGATGGCCAAGCAGAAGGTTACGAACCCGAAGCTATAGCGCGGTTCTTCTCTACCGCGGTTGGCATTTGGCGTTTAGGTTAGGTCAATGTAACCGCGTATTATACGAGAAAGATCAGACTTGAGGTCCAAATGGACGCTATCGCGTAACCAACGCGTTTCGGAGTAACCAATGTGGGATATTTAAGCGGTTTTGTTACCGCGACGTACCGGTCTACGGTCAGGACAACAATGTGGAGCAGTGTACACAAACACAAAGTGAAAAGTGGTAACGTTAGCAAGTCCGCCATGATGGGGTCCACTTCTTTTGCGAGAATGCTGCTGGGTAGGAGTTAAGAGCAAGAGCCAAACTTGTAGCCATATCATTCACTGCAAGACTTGTGAGGATATAGTTCGTCGGCGTTCGTAGATTGTAGTTTTTGTAAACGGCAAAGACCACGAACAAATTCCCAATGATGATGAACGGTGCCAGCACAGCGATGATTGTCAACATCAGCGCAAAGAACAACCCACTGTCGTGCAGGTTTTGGTAATAGGTAGAATTCATAATTTTTACCTTATTCTCTCTTGGTAAAACAATTTACTCTAGCTCTTTCTATCCTCCTCGAATTATGATACGATATATTATATTTGTTATTTAGCGCCTCGCTTTTGGATTTTAGCCGGTCAAATCCCTAGAAAACTTTTCCGCTGTCCGTCGCGAATCAAACGCCAGGCTCGACACACACCAGTGTCTAACAGACAGTTCTCGTAGGCACCGACACGGGCAGTCTGTTTGGTACGCATAAATAAATAAATATTGCGCTATGCTGGGTCTGTGTATCTGGTTCACTGTTAAAGTTCCAATATTAAATCCGTGTGACCTTCAAAACTATCATCTGATGATGTACTTGTCCGCGAGAAAATATAGAAGGTTAGGCCCCAAATCTGGGTTTGGCTGCCGGACTAACAAGGCCGTGTCGCATTGTGGAGTGCGGGTTGCTGAAACTCTTGAAATATAGATAGATCTTTCTTTTGCTCAATATGCTTCGACTGAAAGAGCTGATGCAGTTCCTGAAATCATATTCCAGACAAACAAAAATAAAATTAAGTCAACATTTTCAGAACTCGTCCCCCCGGTTTTTGAAAATCCTGGATCAGTAACTGAAGTCAAGATGTCAAGTTAATGAATGGCGAAAACACAACATCTCATGAATAAAGTAGGGGTCTGTCCTTTCTGCGTCTTTCACAGATTTTGTCTGATTCCGATAATCCTGTAAAAAATGTTTTGATGAGGAAGCTAGGGTATTGACAGCATATACGTGCTACAACATGAAATGATCTACGCTCCCTCTCCTTTCCTCCGTAAATTAGTATCAGAAATCTGCGCTCGTCAGCTTGCTTGCTAGCTTGCACTTCAAAAGTAAATAAACCTGCGTCATATCACAGTTCAATAATTTTTTATTTTTTTAGGTAAGTAGTTCCTTACAGTAACAGAATCGCGCATCAACAGAAGAATACGCGATACTTTGACTTTATCGTGTCTTTAATTCATGTATTTATTGAGAGCATCCGATGAAAGGTTTTAAATAAAAAAAAGTAGAAACCGTAACAAAAGCAGTGTCAGTCAATCTATCCTAGAATTTCATTAGGTGGGATTGCATATCCGCCCTATAGTCTCGCTTGCTCGCAGTCTTTTCCACTTTCCTCATTTGAGAAAAATATTGATACCAGCAATATCTCATTTCACGTACATAATATATGTCCAAAGGCCTTATTGTTATTACCATTTTTGAGCGACAGCCTGGTAATTATGAAGGTGTTGATAATACTTGTAACTCTATCCTCATGAAAGACTTGGAAATCGGGGAAGGGGTGGGGTAGCACAATCGCCTCGTGCCCCCCTGTTTTAAAGGAATGTAGTATAATTTTTTTGGGGGGGAGGGGGGGGGGGGGTGGGTACTAGTACAACTAATATAACTAGAGGGGTACAATATCGCACACACAAAAAGCTTATTATTATGAGTGAAATTAAAAGCGAAATTGATCAAAGAATAAAGAACACTTCGCTGAAACCAGAGGGGCATTACCTCATAAGGTAGAGTGTGTGCGCGCGGGTGTGTATGTGTGCGTGTGTGTGCGTGTGTGCGTGCTTGCATGAGAAGGATATATATATATATATATGTTAATATAGAGTATACTTTGCAGTTACCGAGTCTCCGTAAATTATTTTGTAGAACCAAATAAATTTAGTTCTACATCCAATTCCTCTTGACCATATCAGTGCTGTCGTCAGGCACGTAGCCAGAGTTCGATGTTGGGGGGGGGGGGGGGGGGGCACTTACATGTAATCGATCGAGGTAAAAAAAAAAGGGGGTCTAAAAAACAACAACCGATCTTGGACATTTTAGGGGGCACGTTCCCCCCCCCCCCCCCCCATGGCTACGCGCCTGGCTGTCGTGAGTGTTTCCGAACATGCTGAAGATTGTTCTGCATAAAGAAGGCATGAAGGTACTTCAAAGATAACCAGGTAAATCATTAAAAACCAAGTTAGAAAAAAACACCTGTGGACCGACGGCTTTAAGTCCTCTTCGGCTGACACGGTAATGAGGAATAATGCCTTACAAAAAGGGCACTGTAGTGTATTAACTTAGTCTTGAACCCGGGACTTCTCGGTTACGAGACCACTACCCTACCACTGGGCCATCGCGCTTCTTTAATTACTTTTGCCATTGCTCGTTCCAGTTTCATTACCAGTTTTTGTTGACTGGATTTCTATGTATGAACATGCTGAGAGCAAGTTCGTGAGTTATGAACAGCGTAGGTTTTCTTTCATACGACGTACATCATTTTATTCCATTTTAATTGCGGGAACAGCTCAATGTTGGATAGCCAGGCAGAGATTATATCTGACAACCTAACACGAGTTAATAACCGTAATGCCTCTTAATTGAACACTTTGTCAACATACAATCGCTCACATTACGCGGTGTATGGCGGGAATTGCATGATACGCTGTCCGGAGATGTTCCATTTTGGTTCTGCCATCGGCTCGATCATTGGACTAGCCAGAAATGAAACCAGCTTGCACTTACATTTAGTTCTTTGAAATGCCACTAACAGATGTTGTTCATGTGCAGATATAACCCAGTAAATACTTTTGTCTAAATTAGCTTGGCCAGTCCTGTTTCGTGAGAGAGTCAGATTCATCGCCATCCATGAATTTGGATCTCACCTAGCTAGTCTATTTAATTGCATTTTAAAGAGTATCATCACAATGAATGAAAGTACGGAACCAGCTCTTTCTGCAGGTCATCAATTTGCTGGCAAAATAGTTGTCATGGTATGTATTACTCCTTTCCTACCTTGCATCGTCATCAGCAACGCCCTGTTAGTGCTAGCAGTTAACAGAAATTACAGCCTCCGAACACCAACAAATGCCATTATTGTGAGCCTCGCTATCTCTAATCTCCTCGACGCCCTTGTTGGGATTCCACTTTATGTGTATGCAACCGTTTTTAAATTCGAGGCATGGTGCTTCGATGAAGCATCTCGCTATCTCTAATCTCCTCGACGCCCTTGTTGGGATTCCACTTTATGTGTATGCAACCGTTTTTAAATTCGAGGCATGGTGCTTCGATGAAGAAAATACTCCTAACTATGCTCTACCCCTGATTGCACTATCTGGTGTTTCGTTTTGTCACATTGTGGCGTTGACTGCAGATCGATTCATAGCTGTTACGAAGCCGTTACGTTATGCCAGCCTGGTGACGTTTAGACGCATTGCCATCGTCCTGGGGTGTCTTTGGCCTCTTACTATTGTGTCTAACACCGCCCAATCTTTTAGCTTAGCGCATGGATCACATATAAGTCACGACCAGAAAGTAACGGACTGTGGGGCGCCTTTAACTGGGACATTGAACGTTACCTTCACCTGGTTGATGGTTTGTGTGACCGTGATTTCAATGGTTGCGCTGCTTGCCATCAATGCTTTGATTCTTCACATCGCAGTCAAACAAGCGAGAAAGATTGCGAGTCAAAGAGTGATCATTCAGTTCCAACAGCAGCAACTCCCAGTACAAGATGACCGATTGAAAGCATTTAAGACTATCTCCCTTGTCGTGGCAGTCTTCATTATCTTCTGGTTTCCGATTCCCCTGTATTTCATATTACGGCTTACAACGGACCTATCACCGTACTCTTATGGTATACAATAATTCCTTCCTGGTTTTGCATACCATAAATTTGGTTGTTACTCCTATCATCTACGGCTTCAGAGATCGGGCTTTTCGAAAGGCCTTTCAAAATATCTTGCGTCAATTTTTAATAACGTAGTAATCTTTCGCAGTTCGTCGTAACCCCTCTGACGCCATTTTAGCGTGTGATCTATCCATTGTCACATCAAAGGAGCACCTTTTGTCCTAGAAGAAACTTTACATTTTTTTGCAAAACATTACTTTACTTTAGTTTGAGAACCTACAAACCTGTCAGAAGTCGCCGAATAAGCAGTATCTCTAACTTGGTTCATTGCATATGGTTGCCTTAATAGTTGCGAACGCGTTCATAATTTTAAATATTAAGAGCCTCGCAGCAAGCAATGGAATTGACGGCGTTTAAGAGTTTTCTCGTTTGCATGCTTCCTCGTTGGTGTATCAAAGCCCTCGGTGCGTGGGCTAGATGAAGTGAAAACGACCCGACTTTGATAATAAGATGATAAGTGGAAACGATAAATTTTTAATCTGATTTAAATGAGATTTTATGTCAGTGGCAGTCAGCCTGTTTGATTATTGTAGCAAGGGACAAAATAATGTGTCAAACGGATATCTAGGCTAAAATGACATCAAGGTGAAACATCATTATAATCATCCCTCGCAATATGGTGCTTGTTTCTGTAATTATTCATAGGTGATGAGCAAATATTGGACAGTCATAACTCCTCCGGGATTAGAGGAGCATGTATGTACTGTAATTGCACATTCAAAGGTCAATTAAAACCATTTTATTTCGGTTTGGTTGTCTCGTATCCTTAGATTCTGAATAACCTGTTCTGTTGGTCACGTTATGCTTGCACTCTATAATTTTGATGCTTACTGTGCACAAACCTGTTCATTTGCGTTGTATTAAGATAACAAATTCTTGAATTAAGCTGTCATTTTAATCGAATGAAATCTATTCATGATCATAATCAGGATCCATTCGTGTTTCTTAAGATGTCATGTGTCATTGATTTGTTAAGTGCGTTCGCATATTGAAAGAACGTCAGTAAGCATTGATTATCATTGACACAAATTGCTATTTATTCTTGATGCCATGTCAATATATAGAGTTAGGTAAAAAAACTGGCCTTTGTGGTCTTCTGTGGGTCTTTTCTTTAACTTTGTGGTTTATATTGTTATTAGTGGGTTTCTTAGATCTAACGAACATTTATAGCCATAATGATCGTTGAAATGCATATAGAAAATGATGGGCCCCTAAAACATAACATGTAAGCACTTTGGGTACAGTTTAAAAAAACATCAGTCGGTGACATCGTCTAAGTATCAAACTTTACCTAGGAATCCGATTGAAAAACAAAAAAACGAGGTGAACGCCATTTGACTGTTCGATTTGTCTGTGTGCTTAACAGAATAGCATGTTTGGGGTTGTGTGTCATGGATACTTAATACTAATAGATATAAAGCCTTCTCTCATGCCTTTGAAATTGATTACAAATATTCATCAAATAGCACTAAAACCACATGAATATTTGTCTTGTATAATATTATATAACATCAGTCTCAAAATATTTATGAAATATTGGTTGTAAACCTATTCAAATTATTTGCTGTTTTTAATCAACTGTCCGGATACAAACCATTTCCGGACACACAACGTCTGGGTATAATTAATGGGGATGAGAATCATAGTAATGTGAATGAGCCGAACCATATTTCGTGTGTAATGAAGAAGGCCAAAACAAGAGAGAGAAAGAGAGAGAGGAAGAGAGATAGAGGAAGAGATGAAGCGGAGTGTGTCCGCGCGGGTGTGTGTGTGTGTGTGCGTGTGAGAGATCAATATAGATTCCTTTGTAATTAGTGAGTCTTCGTAATTTTTTTTTTGTAGATCCAAAAAATGTTGGTTTTACATTCAGGTTCTCTTGACAACGTCAGTGCTGTCGTGTGTGTTTCCAAACATGCTGAAGATTGTATACAAATAATTAATGTTTGCGAGTGCATTGGTGAATATGCACTGCAACGAGTTTAAATCACATTAGGATGCTGAAAGAGCTAAAACATTAATTATTTGTTTTGTTAGATAGGTCTACAATATGAGTATTACGTCGAGAAATTGACGGTTGTTATCACCAAAATGCACTCCTCGTGTCTATGCTAAATATTAATGACGCACACGTGATCCATTTCGACGCTTCTCATTGGCTACATTCTTGAACCCATTTTGTAATTCTTCATAAAAAGGCATGACGGTACTTCAACGAAGACCAGGAACACCATTAACAACCGAGTAAGAGAAAATGCCTTTAAGTCCTCTCCGGGTGACTTAGTAATGAGGAATAGTGCCTTACCAAAGGACACTGTATAGCCCATCAATTATAACTTAGGCTCGAACCGGCGAATCCTCGATTACGAGACCACCGCCCTTTACCACTGAGCCATAGCGCTTCTTTAATAACTTTTGGTGAGCCATAGCGCTTCTTTAATAACTTTTGGCATTGCTCGTTCCAGTTTCATTACCAGTTTTTGTTGACTGGATTTCTATGTATGAACAGGCTGAGAGCAATTTCGTGAGTTATGAACAGCGTAGGTTTTCTTTCATACGACGTACATCATTTTATTCCATATTAATTTAGGGAACAGCTCAATGTTGGATAGCCAGGCAGAGATTATATCTGACAACCTAACACGAGTTAATAACCGTGATGCCTCTTAATTGAACACTTTGTCAATATACAGTCACTCACATTACACGGTGTATGCCAGGAAGTGCATGATACGCTGTCGGAAGATGTTCCATTTTGGGACTGCCATCGGCTCGATCATCGGACTAACCAGAAAACAAACAACCTTGCACTTAAATTCAGTTGTTTAAAATGCCATTAACAGATTTTAATCTTGTTAATGTGCAGATATTACCCAGTGAATAATTTTGTCTTAATTAGCTTGGCACTATTTTGTAAGACAATCAGATAAATCGCAGTCCATGAATCTGGATCTTCACTAGCCTATTTCATTACAATTAAAAGAGTATTATCGCAATGAATGAAAGTACGGAATCAGCTCTTTTTGCACATCATCAATTTGCAGGCAAAATAGTTGTCATGGTATGTATTATTCCTTTCCTACCTTGCATCATCGTCAGCAACGCCCTGTTAGTGCTAGCAGTTTACAGACATTACAGCCTCCGAACACCAACAAATGCCATTATTGTGAGCCTTGCTATCTCTGATCTCCTCGACGCCCTTGTTGGGATTCCACTTTATGTGTATGCAACCGTCTTTAAATTCGATGCATCGTGCTTCGCTGAAGAAAATACTCCTTACTATGCTCTACCCTGAGTGCACTATCTGGTGTTTCGTTTTGTCACATTGTGGCGTTGACTGCAGATCGATTCATAGCTGTTACGAAGCCGTTACGTTATGCCAGCCTGGTGACGTTTAGACGCATTACCATTGTCTTGGGATGTCTTTGGCTTCTTAGTATTTTGCCTAACACCGCCCGATCTGTTATCTCAGCGCATGGAACACCAACACGTCAAGACGAGAAAGAAAGGGACTGTGGGGCACGCTTAACTAGGACATTAAACGTAAACTTTACCTGGTTTTTATTTTGTTTGATCGTGATTTCAATGGTTGCGCTGCTTACCATCAATGCTTTGATTCTTCACATCGCAGTGAAACAAGCGAGAAAGATTGCGAGTCAAAGAGTGATCATTCAGTTCCAACAGCAGCAACTCCCAGTACAAGATGACCGATTGAAAGCATTTAAGACTATCTCCCTTGTCGTGACAGTCTTCATTATCTTCTGGTGTCCGATTCCCCTGTATTTCATATTACGGCTTACAACGTACCTATCGCCTTTTACTATTATGGTATACAACCATTCATTCCTGGTATTGCATACAATAAGTTTGGTTGTTAATCCTATCATCTACGGCTTCAGAGATCGGGCCTTTCGAAAGGCCTTCCAAAATATCGTGCGGCAATTTTGAATAAAGTAGTAATCTTTCGCTGCTCGTCGTAACCCCTCTGACGCCATTTTAGCGTGCGATCTATTCATTATCACATCAAAGTAGCACCATTTGTCCTGGAAGTAGCTTTACATTTATTGCAAAACCTTAATTCATTTTAACGTGAGAATCTACAAACTACAGACCTGACTGAGGGCCTGTCAGAAGTAGCAGTAGCTCTAACATTGTTCATTACATTATGGTTGCCTCAATAGTTGCGAACGCGTTCATAATTCTAAATATTAAGAGCCTTAAGTCAGCAAGCAATGAAATTGCATCATTCTAAATATTAAGAGCCTTAAGTCAGCAAGCAATGAAATTGCATCATTCTAAATATTAAGATCCTTGTCAGCAAGCAATGAAATTGACGATGTTTTAGGGCTTACTACTTTGCATGCTTCCTCGGTGTTGTAGCAAAGCCCTTGGTGCGTGGGCTAGATTAAGTGAAAACGACCCGACTTTGGGGTCTGTTTTTGTTTTCGGGGCTCTGGGGGCTAAACACAATGGCTACGGCCAGGCTGACAATCTTTTTATTAATGACTGTATTGGTCTAAGGGGTTAATGTTATGGGTAGTGTAGGGTGACTATTTCGGGACAGGCTTCTAGACCATTAACTGAAATAAATATGGTCAATATTGAATACCCGTCGTACCCGAGGCGTTATTCCGAATGCGTCATTACAGACGCTAATCGGGACTTGTGAGGACAATTTGCACATGCATGCCACCCGCCAGAAATATCAACGCAATGTTTCCACTGTTCAATTTGCATTGATCATCCGGTGTCATTCTCAATTGGCGCGACAAAATAAACGGCTTCAAAAAAGCTGCTGCGTTTTTTTTTTATTAACGTGTGCAACAAAGGATTTACGCGTATTTTCTGAGCGCTGTGCTAGAAGATACACATAAATGAGAGGTGTATGGAACTTTATCTCGTCTTTAAAAAAAACATCCGCGGTTTTGCCGCGTCATAATGATCTGAACGAGCCTTTACTTCTCAATGATGGCGCGAGTGCAACGGGTTTCGAAGCTTGGATTAACGCATAACGTAATTTATATGCATCCTGAGCACCATCAATATATAGGGTAGGTGTATGGATTTGGAGACCCTTAAGCACATTTGCATAATTTACATAAACAGGAAAAATGTTACACATACAGAAAGTTTTGTATTCTCTTCAGTAACTTTTTCTCTTTATTTGTTAACAAAATTGTGGTCATGATGTAACTGATTAATAAGATAACAATGATTAATGACTTCATCACCAGAGGTCTCTCATTACCTACATGTGAAGGTAATAAAGGACAGTAACAAATCAAGACATTTAAAATACAATTTGAATGAAAATGGGATTGTTATAATTAGTTCAAACACCTTTTGAAAGAGATATATGCAGTCAATGAACTTACTTTACTTTTGAAACGATTTTATAACAATGTGACCCAAAACATTTCTATACATGGACAATTAACCAACAAGCATCGGGTCATTGACTGTCCTCGGCATGCTCGACATTCACAACAAACGACCTCATCTCTCTCTCTCCCTCTTTCTCTCTCTTCAAACTTCTCTCCTTCTTTTTTTTCTTTTGACCTTCCCTTTTCTCTCTTCTAGCATGTACTTGTATGATGATTATTGTTGTCTCGCCGAAATCTGACTTTCTTAATTTTCATTAATGTATTACATGTAATTAGGAATAATATGCTTATTTAATTATGATCATTCCATTCCCTGCTCTCTCTTTCTCTCTCTCTATCTCTCTCTCTCTCTCTTCCTTTCTCTCTGAGCCACCCCTAAATATCTGCATACACCACAACATTCAATGAAAATTATGTTTTTATATCGGAGCAAAATGTTACGATCTAAATTGATTACCTTGGTCAATTTTGCCAATTTTCTCGGAGAAAGAGCACATTGTAGTCTTCAACATGAATTGGATATATGCAGTAGTGTTGTTAAAGGACACACATGGCGCTATAGCAATATTGGAGCCAATACAGACAGAAAGTGATAGGTTCAAGCTTGGTGATTTCCAATTCCATGCGGTCTCCAATTCCCTACACCTACCCTACACGATTCATCAAGATGATAAGTGGAAACGATACATGAGCAATCTGGTCTAAATAAGATTTTATGTCATTGGCAGTCAGCCTGTTTGATTATTGTAGCAAGGAACAGGGAACAAAGTAATGTGTCAAATGGATATCTAGGATAAAATGACATGTAACATAATTATAATCATCCCCCGCAATCCGGTGCTTGTATCTGTGATTTTTTTATAGGTAATGAGCAAATATTGGACAGTCATAACTCCTCCGGGGTTAGAAGAGCATGTAAGTACTGTAATTGCACATTTAAAGGTCAATTAAAGCTATTTTATTTAGAATTTTTGGTTTTCTGTAGCCTTTGATTCTGTAAAACATTTTGTGGTCACTTTATGCTTGGACTATATAATTTCAATGATTATTGTACACAAACACGTTCATTTGCGCTGGATTAAGATAATGAATTAAGCTGTCATTTTAATCTGACAAAATAATAATAATAATAGTTCGTCCTTATATAGCGCAGATATATGTCATTACCCCGGTCATCGGATTCATGATTATCCGCACACAATGTATGCACATTCCCTGGGGAGCATTACAGCCAGTCGCCATTTTACAAACGCCACTTGCTAATCAAACAACATTAGCTTTCGTATCCTACCGGGTACCCATTTAACACCTGGGTGGAAATTGGCAAATGTAGAAGGTAAAAGGACATTAGTGCCGCGGCGGGACTTGAACCGCGGACCTTGTAATCCACAGACCGGTGACATATCCACTCGACCACGATGACACCTCTGCATAATGTACCCCAGTCACACCGCCTTTCCGACCCCAAACTGATTGCTTCCTTGCCATTGTGGTAATGTAATTCAATGTACAGTCAAACCTGTCTATAGCGACCACCCAAAGGAAACATAACAGGTGGCCTTTGTAGACAGGTGTTCTTTGTAGAGAGGTTCCTTCAGTACATGCTTCAATGAGAAACCATTTTCAAGGGAAACAACAAATATGGCCTTTGTAGACAGGTGGTCTTTGTAGACAGGTGGTCAATAAAGCAGGTTTGACGGTATATTAATCAGTCTCTTGTTGGTCACGTCATTGTGACTGAAGCTCGAATTTTTATATTAACTGTTGACACTTGACCCATAATCATCATTGTGAAATGCCAAATGAACTATGAATCTTAATCTAAATGTCAAAGAACCCATTCTTTACTGCATGTACCTACAGAAAAATAATAAAACCTCGTGACCTACTAAACATATTTTTGTCACTGTTTTATGTTTCATTACAAAAAATCTCTATCATGATAATTAAAACATTCCGATTTTATTTATAGTATGCACAGCACATTGTTGCTTTACATTATGACCTAACGTTTTTGCTGCGCCTTTCAAAGTAGTTTCGAAATAATAAGCCTTTACACACATGTAGCTCCCAGTGTCGTACCATTTGAAAATATCAAAGTATTATTGGTTTTAATTTCTGGCTTTTGTAAAATTGTAAATGCAATAACGAACATGATCTCAGAGGCATTTTAAGCGCGGCTCACACTCCATGAGCTGACTACGAACCGATTTTGAAAGACTTTTATATAAGCATTCAAACATTTGGAATCTTAAAGGGACTTGCTAACATTGTTCAGATGAGAGATAGTGGTGCTAAGGTAGTGACTTCAATGCTGAATATACAATTATCTGAAAATTTGAGTGAAAACGGATCATTTTTAATGATAAAAATTGGGAAAAACTGATCCTATCAATTCCTGAATTATCCCAACTATATTATTAACATTTAATAAAATTTAAGGTAAATTTAAATCGTCACAAAGTAATAAATTGGCTCTATATACCATTCTAGACATTTTTTAATAGCCTGTGTCATGTCTTTTTTCATGGAAAAACGGTTGGGAAAACTCAAAAATGGTTTGGAGAATTTACTTTTAATCACTGTTAGAGGGTGTTGCACAGTGACGCCTTCAAAGAAAATCATAGATATCTTCTTGGTTTGAGAATTTGTTCAGGATTTTTTTGCATGTCAGAGGGCTAGTACAGTAGAAGGAATATACAAAATAACATTTTATACACAAATTAAGCAATTTTTTCATTAACCTTCAACAATGTCACCGAGTCACTTTAATGACCGAGGATCTGGAAAGTCATATGATTAACAAAATCTCAATTTCAAGAGATTTTATGCTTCTTTGGAGGGGGAAAGCTAAATCGGCTCATAATCGTAATGACGTCAGAACAAAACTGCGATTGTCTACGATTTGAAA